AGAAGGTCTGCGAATGAGCAATAAAACAATGACTGAATTCGGCTTTCGTGCGATGTGAATAATTTTGCGGATCTCGGAGGATGTTGTCCGCCACGACCTTTGCCTCGGTGGACAACAGTCTCCTCGCCGGGTCTGCATAATTCTTCGCCGAATTCAATAACTGCTAATAATTCCAAAATTTTGGGAAATTTTGTAGTTGGACCGGGCCGAGCTGAAGACATCGGGCAGAGTTTTTTTTCAATTTTTTAAGCGAGGACCAGCGTACAAAAAAGAAGGACGAAGACGAAGTCGAGGGAAACATCAGGACTCTCGAGGGACCTGACATTAAGTGTTTTGTTATATTTCTAGACTTTCACTTCAACAACGACAAAAGAAATATGCGGAGCGAATCAAAACAGTCGACTCGGTTCTTATATATCCCTGTAAAGTATCCCGAGCGGATACAATTGCTCAAATGTATCACGATCGGGATACTTTTGATTTTAGTCGAGGCCATGTGACCAGTGGCAGTACAGTTAACCCTAAATTTCGAAAAAAAGTTGATCCGTCAAATTTTAAAAGATGCCTACAAAGAAAGTTCATTATGATCGTTTTCTAATTCCAAAGTTTTTTTTGGCAAAATTTGAAAACCCCGCCAAAAATTTGCTATTTAATTAAAAGAGGTGATTAAAAATGGCCGAGGTGACCATTGTTTACAGTTTGTTGATTTTGGTTGCTATGGGGTCTGTACACCCTCATTTTTGTAAAAACGATCCAAATTTGCTCACCAGTAATCCACAAGTCCATCATTTTCTTATTCCTTTCCAATTTTCCTACCGATAAGGCTCTGCATGATTTGAGGGCACGTTTTCTCAGAGAGAGTCGAATTTGCGAGTGTGTTGTTCTGTGTTACCAAGGTTGTATTCGGTTGGATTTTGACTTTGTCAATGGAAGGAGAGGAGGAAAACTGTAGAAAAAGAAAAGGAAAGTTTAGGTCGTATCGGAGAAAAAAAAGAAAAGGTTTTCATGGCAAAAAAGCATGGGAAATGCGAAGGGAAACGAGCACAGATGCGAATCATGATGCAATCGAGGAGTCATGCAAGGAGCTACGACCAAGCACTTCCAAGGGCAAAAGTGAGTAAGATGACTTTTTAGATCGAACTGCGCCAAAGAATATGTCAGAACTGAAGCTAAGGAACAGTTCTTTCAACGATTTGGAGGACGAAGTCGGAATAAGTACTCGTTCTCAATCGAGTTCTTCAGGAATGCCACAGAGTATGGAGGAGCATGAGAAAGCCAAGGCTTCAAACTGCAGGATGCCGAACTGCTTTCTCAGTGTATCAGCAAATCGGCTATTTGCAGCTCATGTAAAAATCCAAAATCTCAACTTCAGCTCTTTCAAGAAAACTCTAACCGTGATGGCCTTGCTGAACTGTTGTATTTAAAATGCTCAAGTTGTGATTGTATCACCCCTTTACAAACAAGTAATAGGCTTGGTGGTAAAGGAGGTGGGGCCCATGAAGTGAACAGGAGGTCTGTGCTGTCTTCTCATCAATGGGGCTGTGCTGGTTTGGCAAAGTTTTGTGCTGGTATGGACCTTCCACCTCCAGTTACCAAGAAAGCATACAACCAGCACATGAAAAAAATTCAAAAGTCAGCTATCAACAATGCTGAGCAATTGATGTGCGAAGCAGCTGAAAGGTTTACTAATTTGGTCTCCAGTGAGGAGGAGGACTGTGTGATTGAGATCCATGGCCAAAAAGCCACTAAGCCTTTGTCCATCAGAAGGGTTAGTGAAAATAAGAACAGGTAAACCATGTTCATCATTTAACAATTCGTCTCGAAAAATGTTCCTTGTCTGGAAGCCCTTCTTGATAGCCAGAGTATAATTCGTATGGATGCTCGAAAGTCATGAAACCTCTTTGCGATGGTAGCAGTAAGGTCTCCAATACGTATATCAGTCCTATCAGCTTCGAACGCTTTTTATCATATTTTAAATCGCATGCTTCTACGAGAGCCATCAATCGAGCTTGGCAGTTTTCCACAGAACATACTTGTTTCGAAATGCGTAAACCCGAAAGGCCATCTGATGTTTCACTCCGTAAAAAAGATCTTTTTTCATTCCATGTTTGCTTCGCCGTTACTATTTCTACAACATCACCATTCTTCTTCTCAAAACTGCACTGCGAAATTTCAGAAGGTTCTGCAGTGTCCATGTCCGCCATTCTGAGACTCGTCACTTGGCCGAGAGGTACTTGGTTCCAGTATGTAACCAAGCCTTGCAAAACAAAATGGCGGAGGATTCCTTACAGCGAGTTCGAAATTGGTTTTCACAAAGTAAGCTCGGAGAGTATGCAGATCTCTTTATTTCCAATGGGTTTGATTCGCTGGAACTGATTTTTTCTGGAGGAACAATTCGCTGAAGGAATATGTTTACCAGGCAAAGGGCAGCAGCTGCTCTTAGCAATTCGACAGCAAAAAGAAAGTAAACCACCTCGCCAAACAGAGATGTGCATGTACG